AAAAAAAAAAAAAAGAATGGTCTTTACTTTTTGTGAGAGCAAACAAAATACTGTTCAGAATGAAAAGAAGCTAACTTCATCATGGGCAAATTAGTTTTGATTATTCATTTTTAAAAAATTTATAAAGAATCTTAACAGGAAAAATAAGGTTCAAAGTCAACTAATCTACCATCTGCACTTAAGAAGCACTTAAAATTATTTTTTCTGAACAAGAAACCTTTTCTTTCGTTTTCACTACACGTAAGCAAAAGTACTTGCACACGTAGGATATTTTTTAAATGACTGTGAAAACAAAGTTTCCTGACTGAAACTAATCGCAAAAGCCAGATCAACTTCAGTGTACTCTTAATTTGAGCTCCAGTGCTTAAAGAATGGCAAATTGAGGGTTACCTGCCCTTTTGTTTTCTTGTTGGTAGCTTTTTATTTTAAGTAAGACTAAATTTCATACCTGTCTAAGTGAATTCTTCTCTGGTATTATCTTCCTAGGGGGTTCGCCATTATTACAGTCTTCTCTCTCAGAGGAATTCTGTGAAAGAAAGTAAGCTTTAATTCAGTTCTCATTATCTTCAATCTTATTCTGTGGGAGTAAACTGAATTACATTTCTAATTCTGTAAGTTAGAACATCATGTATATTGATACATTTATTCATCTGAAGATTTATATACATACAGACATACACATATGTGAAGAAAAATATATGCCCATGTATATAAATAGATGTATGTAGGAATCTGGGTGGAAAGTATTTCATCTGTGCTTAAGTACTGCCTAGCAGATCACATTCATTAGAAGTCTGGTTTACTGTCCTTTGAAAATGCAGGCTGACACTGGACATATGAAGCAGGAGGTCCATACAGCTGATGACAGCTTAAACCATGATTATTACCTTCTCTGACTCTTAAATAATTAGTTTTTAACTATAGTAAATGGTTGGTTGGTAATGAACTCCAAGTCTGATTCTAGAAACTAGTTTTCTATTTCTCCTCTTCTCAGATTTTTTCTTCAATAAAAATAGCATGGTGCTTACTTAAAACGGTAACATTTAATCAGTGGCATAGGATTATGGTCCATTCTTTGTCACTATCACCTCAAAGTGCAGCTTGTTGTTGTGTGCCTTCCAGTCGATTCCAACTCACAGCAACCCTATAGGGGCAGAGTAGAACTGCCCCATAGGCTTTCCTAGTCTGTAATCTTTACGGGAATAGATCACCAAGTCTCTTCTCCCGCAGAGCCACTGGTGGGTTCGAACTGCCAACCTTTCAGTTAGCAGCTGAGCGCTTAACCAGCTGAGGGCTCCTTCAAAGGTCATCAAGAAGACCCTAAAATGTCAATAGGATTTTTATATACTTGGCGCGCGGGGCGGGGGGCGGCAAACCAATTCAATTGAAATCAAGTTCAGAGGTGTTAAAAATCTATAGTCAACACATGTAAATCACTATCTCAGAGGCAAAGTACAGAAAATCCAAATTGCATATTACTTGGGTTCTAATTTCCACGACTACATTTATAACATTAACATTTAAGAACTTGTTGTTGATATATTACCATTCACAATATTCAGGGAGTTACTTTGTTTTTAGATCCAAAATCATTTCCAACACATGAGTCTATCTAAAAATTTAGACAGTATGAAGTTATTATCAAAGAATCATCACTTGTGTTTTAAATCTACATATAAGTGACACTTTTTATATGTATCAAATATTACATTTAAAAAGATACTAAAGAATAAAATGTATATAGGGTCATTCTAAGGCCTTTGCTAACATCTGAGTGCCTTGCGAACCGCCTTTAATTGGTTAAGAGACCAATAACCCCAAAGTGTTCCTTTTGGGCAGAAATCTTTTACTACGTTTCACTTGAAATTAATTCTCCAATATTTTACATTTCTGATGATCACTTTAAAGGTCCCTAAAATTAAGATGGAGATAAAAAGCTAGGGACTTCAGAGTTATAACTGCTTTTTCTCCCCATTTTGAAAAAAGAGAATGGAGACTATCTACGAAGGGGAGAGAGATACAATTGAGTTAATGACTATAAAGCATCCCAAACGAGGAAACTAGCAATATATTCCATTATAAGAGAATCAAACAAAGAAGGGGAAAGGTTAACATTAAACCCATAAAATCAATTTGTACAGTTAACTTTTTTTTAAAAGTATAGATCAATGTTTTAAATACCAAAACTAAAAGTCTTATATAATACAAACTTAAGCCAGTAGTCAGTTATAGCTGTATTCAATTAAGTCAGTATTCAATTATAAAACTTACAGTTTGCAAGTAACTATTCCCCAGGCCACAAAGTTCCACCCTCCTTTAAATAAAACACCATATCAGACAATCTAAACCTGTTTAATTCAATGTAAGATCCTGTATTTCAAAATTAATTATATTCTGTTTAAATGTCTTTATAATAAACCTAGAAGCCTGATTAGTTTTTTGGGGAAGTTTGTTAACCTAAAGACATCATAAATCACATTTTCATTCTACAGGTGCTTGGGCTGAAACAAAATTGATGCTAAACTCCTCTATAATGAATTAGCAAGTGAAAAAGAATGATCTGGACCTAACAGGATAAATGGTAACTACCTAGCCTATATCCACAATTTTCTTTCTCCTGACACTCAATTCTATCTGATTTTGATGGGTAACTACTGGGTGGGTAATATGAGATTGTCTAAGTTATGAAAAGGTGAAAGGAGCTAAAAGACAATTGCTATCTGAGAGCAGAACACAGAGTTGTAGAAGAGCTCCTTTTACCTATCCACCTATTCACCTCATCTGGACAAACGATAAAAGTTCTGTTGTCAAAAAGGATAACTCTTAACAAACAGGAAAGAGGAGGAAACATTATTTGTTATAGCTAGTTGTTTTTAGATCGGTTAACCGAACATTATTCACTCTGGACCACCCACCGTGAGAAATCAAATCAAAACAGACAAACAAATCGAGCTCTGTTGTTACATAAAATGAGGTAGGGGCTTTAAACAGTGATGCTGTTAGGAGCAGGGAACATGCACCCTTCTAATGGTAAGAGGAGAGCAAGCAGGCAAGAGAATAAGAAATGAATAGCTTCTTGAGGGTGGAGGGAAGTCACAAAACAGTCATGTGTTCCTAAGTGGTCACAAAGCCTGCTTGCTCTCCAACACTACCCAGGAGATCTCAGCAGCACTGTTACTCCTTGCATCTTTATCTATGATGCATCCCAATATGCACTATTCATAACTGTCCTGGGTCATCAAGCTAAATTATGTCTAGTACATTCTATTTAAGGGTAATTGATGCAAGCAAAAATCATCAATGGATGCTAAAATTAGTAGGGGAAAGTTTGACTTTTAGCAGGATAGTTAATCTCAAAATGTTTCTCCATAAGATACTTAACAGTTACAAAGAGAAAAATAGCAACTGCACAGTGGAGAAATTTGGCAGATACCACCTTAACATCATGTACCTCTTGATATGATGCACTAAGAAAACACTATCCTTGTCAAAACACATAACCTAAATCTACTCATAAGAAAACATCAGACCAACCTAAACTGAGAGACATTCTATAAAACTACTAGTCTATATTTAACTAAAATGTGAAGGTCATGAATACAAACAAACACTAAGGAATTGTTTCAGATTTAAAGAAACTAGAGAGACATGACAACTGAATGCAACTAGGGGTCTCAGATTTTCTTTTCCCAAAAAGAACATTATTGGGACAACTGGCAAAATCTGAATATGGTCTACAGATGAGCTAGTAACATTGAAGCAATGTTAATTTCCTGATATCCCCCACTTCTAAAATTTACATGCAGAAAAATTCAGTGCTTTCATTGTAGAGTTCTATGAGTTTTGCCAAAAGGACACAGTTGTGTGACCACCATCAGAATCAAAATACAGAACACTTCATCACCCTCATAATTCCCTCATACTGCCCTTTTATACTCAACCTTCTCCTCAATGGCAACCATTGATCTATTTTTCAGTCCCAATAATTTTGCCTTTTCCAGAATGTCATATTAATGGAATTATTTAGTATGTAGCTTTTTGAGTCTGGCTTCCCCCCCCCCCCATAATGCATTTGAGATTCATCCATGTTGTTACATATATCAACAGTTCTTTCCCTTTTTATTATTGAGTAGTATTCCAGAGTGTTTATCCATTCAATTTCCTGATTTTGATAATTTGTACTGTGGTTATTTTTCAAAAGTTCTTGTTTTTAAGAAACACACTGAAACATTTAGGGGTAAAGGGACATTATGTATGTAACTAACTTTCAAATGGTTCAGAAAAAATATGTGAACGGATGTGTGTGTATGCATATATATAAATAGAGATAAAGCAAATGTGGTAACATGTTAACATCTGGAGAATCTGTGTGAAGGGCATAAAGGGATTCTTTGTACTATTCTTGCAGCTTCTCTCTAAATCTGAAATTATGTCAAAATAAAGTTAACAAAAAATAACAATAGACCAAATCTAGAATAAAATGTTAAGAAATGGAAAGTTCACAAAGCAAATCAGTTTCTCATTAAACAATACACATTGTTTTGTAACACTGGTTGTCAACCCTATGATATGTCAACACTCTCCCCTTCTTGACCTTGGGTTCCCCATTTCCATTTATCCCGCTTTCCTGTCCCTCTCCTGTCTTCTCATCCTTGCCCCTGGGCTGGTGTGCCCATTTAGTCTCATAAACAGGGCTGAACTACGTGTGTTATTATTTGTTTTACAGGCCTGTCTAATCTTTGGTTGAGGGTGAACCTCAGGAGTGGCTTCAGTACTGAGATAAAAGGGTATCCGGGGGCCATACTCTCGGGATTTCTCCAGTACGTCTGGTCTTTTTTCGTGAGTTTGAATTTTGTTCTACATTTTTCTCCAGCTCTGTCCAGGACGCTCTATTGTGATCCCTGTCAGAGCAGTCGGTGGTGGTAGCTGGGCACCATCTAGTTGTGCTGGACTCAGTCTGGTGGAGGCTGTGGTTCATGTGGTCCATTAGTCCTTTAGACTAATCTTTCCCTTGTGGCTTTGGTTTTCTTCATTCTCCCTTGCTTCAGATAGGGAGGGACCAGTAGACATATCTTAGATGGCCACTCACAAGCTTTTAAGACCCCAGACGCTACTCACCAATGTAGAACACGGAACATTTTCTTTATAAACTATGCTATGCCAATTGAGCTAGATGTCCCCTGAGACCATGGTCCCTAGCCCTCAGGGACCAGTAACTCGGTACCTCAGGGAGTTTGGATGCGTCTATGAAGCTTCTATGACTTTGCCTTGGTCAAGCTGTGCTGACTTCCCCAGTATTGTGTACTGTCTTACCCTTCACCCAAGTTACCACTTATCTATTGTCTAGTTAGTGTTTTTCCCTCCCCATCCCTACCCTCCCTCATAACCATCAAAGATTCTGTGTATAAACTTTTTTATGAGTTTTTATAATAATGGTTTCATACAGTATTTGTCCTTTTGTGATTGACTTATTTCACTCAGCATAATGCCCTCCAGATTCATCCATGCTGTGAGATGTTTCGCAGG